GATCTAAGCCGAAATAGGTCGTTACAAAATTAAATGTAGAGGTAAGTACTATTCATACCTTTTAATTGAATATAGACCTTATTCATAATTGAGTCTATATCATACTAAACTTTCTTGAGTAAGTTGTGACCTTTTTTTTTATTGAGACCCTCTTTGATTGAAAAAACAGTAATAATTAGAGACCAGATTCTAATTCGGTCTCTTTAGTTATGAAAATAATGATTATGATTGAAATTAATTAATTATTGTGTCCCTCTTATAATATATACTGTTAGTAATAACTGACTTTTTTAGATATGGGTCTGTCTAAATATTGAGCTATTCTGATGTATTTCTAGTCATGTAAGTGTAAATTCTTCTTCTTTTAGCCATGTAAGTGTAAATTTATATATTCGGAAAAGGTAATTGACAGAAAGACATATATTGTTTGAAAGATATTGGGCATATTGGCTATAGGCAATATTGATTTGCAGAGACGTTATATCAGATCTTGTATGATGGAAGTTTGTCCTAAACATAGATACACTAAATGCAGCCAAACCTATATCACCGAATAATGATGCTAATAGAATTCGTGTTCTTAAGACATTTTTATTAATACACTTAGCATATGTGAACTTCAAATAAGAACTATAAAAAAGAAAACCAATCCTCCAAATTTCGTCAATAAAGATAATAGGGGCAAACACCTGTCTAGGAAGCCTATAGAGATTGGAAATCTCATTGAAAATATTGAGGGACATTATAAATTCGATTCCTAGGATTCATTATTTGAGAGCTTCAACTAGTATGGAGTATATTAGGTGTGAGAAGACAATTATAGATCTATGGAAATATTTTGATAAATTACAGAAAGAATAAAGAAAAGCCTACATGTAACTACTTGTTGTACTAAAATATAATGGCGTAAAGTGGAAATATAATACTTTCGCGTTTCATCTGGTGAGTGAGGTGGCCGGAGCCCAATTTTCAAAAGGTTGTCGACGCATCTGTAACCCTCGGGTGTGGCAGATGCCCATGGGCGGCGGTATTCACTTAACATGAGGTGAACCGTCTGCTCGCATGACAACCTTTCACATAAAAAAATATATGTAGTATATTTAAGGAGTTTAATATACGTTTTTTTCAGCCTAAAAAAGATAGATGAATGGTTTAGATACTGTATTAGCAAATCCTACTCGAAAAATAAAAGTTCAAGAAAATCATCTAAAAGAAAAAGATTTTCAAGCCAAGAAAAACAATGAAGAGAGTGTGAATGAGATAGAGGCATACTATAATACTAATAGCTAATTCTGGTTCAGGGAAAAAGTGGTGCTAACGAAATTGGGTCATACGTTTTAGATTATTTATTACGTTTAAATGAGCAGAATTCTAACAAAACTTTACACATCAATTTTTATTCTGCTAATTGTTGTAGACACAATAAAAACATTACTTCATTATATTCTTAAGCTGTAACTTAATCCAAAACTATTCACATTATTACATTTTTAGTAAAGGGCTATACCCAAAAAGAAGATAATGTTCATATTTTAATTGAAAAGGAGATTAAAAGAAATAAGATGTCTGGACCTATATACACACCATACCAATATGTCACCTTAATTAAGACCTCTCGCAAGAATGGTAAACCTCCCGCCGGATAACACTACACCCACAGTTAGTGCAACAACAAACACACTAGTTCGCCCTCGCCTTCGAGCACGGCGAGACCCATACAACGCGTACACAAGGTACACCCGCGTGCCGGGGCGGTTCTCACCGCTCCCAGCCACCGATTAGCTAATTGCACAGTCGACGGCCATCGGGGTCTCGGTCCGAACCGCGACCTCGACGGCCCTTAGATGACACACCATAGTTAAACGCACGCATGAGCACATGCGCGGCCCTACCCACAGCGGAGGGTCCAAACCCGTGGGTTCTGGCTAGCCCACCGGTTCTGCGTCCGATGAAGCTTTAATAGTGTCGGGACTGAAAGCGAAAACATCAGTTAATACAAGATACAAGAATGTGAAAGAGTCAACATACGACTTTTTATAAATTTAAAGATTTTACAAGATAAATCCGGGTATAATTTCAATGAAGGTGAATACAAAAACAATGTCTCATGGAACAATATCAGAATTTTGTACCTAAAGCGTTCAAAATTTCATTCATATTTTTCTACAAAATTTCATAAACTCAAAAAAAAATTAATATAGTTAATATAAGAAACAAACGGGAGAAAATGGAAAGAATAGAGGACATAATGATAACCAATGTGTATTCACAAACACTAGAATTAAGTAACCATAAGAAAACTGATTTAGATGAACTCTTAAATAAAAACTTAATTCCTAGTTATTACGTAGATTTTTATAATTTGATTCTTTAATTACTGACGTACATAATATTTTTTTTAAAGTTTCTTATTAATAGATACATTGTTAAGTTTTGTATGACCAATTTAAATATTATTCACAGATAATAATTCGAACTTGATAAGACTGTTATGATTAAGTTTGTTATGAAGAATATGAGCAATACTTTAATGCTTAAGTACAGCTAAGAACATGATTTTATTGTAAGCAATTATTGAGACTAGAAGCTACCCTTATATGATTTACAACCTGTGATGTAGAATTAATTAAAGATTACTTAGTAGGAATAATTATTTAGTAAGTTTACTTTCTAATAAACCTTATTTACTATCTTTTATGGTTTACGTATTAAATAAAAAACCTAAAATTAATCTCAAATTTATTAATACAGGGACTTACTAAGGAAAAACCCAACATTTTCACCGTATATTCAGAAACAGAGAGACCTATATAACAAAGAGTCTTTTAAAAAATCTGAGGCTTTAATATTATATAGACCTAATTTCGACTAATTTTTTTTAAATAATTAAAAAAATACTTCATTGACATTTTTTACTTTGTTTTTTTATCAGGCATATAGACAAATAAGTTAACAATCAAATAAAATTATATTTTTATGATTTTTATGAAATTTCATTCTCATAACCTTATTTTTTTACAAAAAGCACAAATGCACAAATCTTTATTTAACGTTTCCCAAAAATTGATATTTTCGAAATAGGTCACTATAATTCTAAAGATGCGAAGTGTGAATTTAAAATGCGTTTTTATTCGACTGTTAAACGTTCGTAAACTAATATGATGTAAAATAATATTAATACAAACAACTCTAATGTGGCCGAGAGATAAAACTGGTTTTAATACCGAAAAGAAACATTTGTGAAACACGCCATTGGATTACGAAGAAAAAACTTTAACTTCGGCCCGAGTCCACAAGTCAACAAACAAAGTGCATTTAAAACTTTATAATTAAACAATGCAAATACTTCACTACTGTACTATTTAACGACTACGAGTCAAAAGTTTGTTTTATTGAACAAACACCACTAAAGTGTTTTTAAAGAATTGAAAGGACCTTGAATTTTCAACACGCTGCGCTTGTGTTTTGGACCGCGTTCACCATAATATCTTAATGTTCAGTAATTCAGGTATTCAGTTTTCAAGGGTTACCCCACGTTATTAGGTCATGCAATACAGGATGCTATATAGGCAATTTGATAATATTTATGTCATAAATTGTGTTATGTAATTAAGACATCCCAAGAATATTTAGTCCAGAACTAAGCTTAATCCCACTGTCTAAGATCAATTATTTAATATATATTATTTATTTGTGCACGTTCCGAGGAGACAGTCTGAAATTTTCTCACGTACCACGACATAAAAATTTCGGCCAAGAGCGGTAATATTTTAGTTACTTTACCCCGTCAGGGTTAAAATATGTAATCATCTTTAAATAAATTTTATTATCTGTGCCTTGGACGCATACTTTCGTTAAAGGTTACATGCAGCTTTTTTATCTGCACGACGCAGTTTTTTTTTAAAGGAAATAAATAAACAACAATCCCGAATAAAAGTAATAATTTAAAACCTGTTTACATTATATAAGAAATATAGATATTACAATAGCTTTATAACATTTAAATAATATTTGTATATTTGCGATATTACACAAGGTTTCCGTAGAGTTGAACTGTTTTTAATTATAATTATAGCGATCTGCATCTATGTAAAACAAAATAAAAGGTTAAACCTTTTATATAAATCCAATTCATCGCTTATTTCTATTGACTTTTATTTCGAGAGCTTTCTACATTGCGGTTGTGAAGTGATAAAGCCAGTGAAGTCAAGGAGGGGGTGGAAAATAGATACAGAGCACGGGTTCATATTGAGCCTAGACCCTGTGTGTTCTGTTCCCGCGTAGTTGTCTCTATAGAATATAAAGAAAGCACTCTAAAATCAGTTTTCACTCGATATTTATTAAGTGCCTGTATAACTACACCTTTCATAAAAAATTTAATAGTTAGATATGAATTTTTTTAATAGTTGGAATATGTCGAAAGGACAGATTTGAGTAATTCCTATTTAAAGCAGTGATTATTTCGTGTGCAGTTAAGGAACGCCCTGTAGTGTGACACATTTCTTGTTTTTTTTTTATAGTACGCGTCTATTTTTTGTGCCCGACAGTTGTATGATCTGTGACGTGAATTGTTGCTTCTACAATCTCGATCAACTTCACATAAGGACTTGTGGTAAGTGTTGAATTTGATCCTATAACATTTTTAATTGTTGTCATCGACAAGAGCGCTTTTTTTACCCAATTTATTTTGCAACAGGGGCAAAAAACACATGCCCATAGAATGTAAGTAATTATAATAATGAATGTATTAAATATCTTTTTATAAGTTAATATATTTAAAAACATGTCATATTGTTTTTTTTCCAAAGGCAATTATTTCGCGTCTTAGGGTTGAACCGGTTTAAATTATTATGCTATGTGCATATGCAATATGGTTATTCAAAAATTTGATTATTGATAAATAATTTAAAAATCATAGTTGAAAGATCCGTTGTGTTTATATGACAATAAACAATGGAATATTTTGAGTTTTTTTTTACAATAAAAAAAAATAAACTCACAATTGTTCCTGTCGCCGGCGAAGAGCTTGTGGAACCTCAGGAAGTCGGGTCGGCCGCCGAAGAATTTGCCGTTCTGATTTAATACCTCCCGTATCAGCTCCAGGTTGTTTACGACCAGGCACTGCGCGCTGCCGAGGGTTATGCTGAAAATGTCCCCATAATTCTTCGCCAGATCGGTGAACGCTTGGAACGGCGATTCGCGCTTGCCCAGCAGGTGTAGACTGCCTATTATAGGCAAGGGAACCGGCCCTGGCGCCTGTCTCAACTCTGCCGTCCTCTCGTCCCCATACTTGCTTGCTCTCTTCCAGGCGATCGTTCGCCGGGCGAAAAGTTTGTACGCCGCCAGGGCTAACAGGACGAGAACTAGGAGTGCACTCATTACGTCTTTGTTTTATTTTCCTAAAAAAGAAATTTTCCTCCCTCCGAGTGGCAACACCTTTTTGACAGGAGTTTTGGCGGGAACCAGGTGCGTTCGCCGGCCGGCACTGCGTCAGATGCGAGCGCTTCCGCCATTTTATAGTAGCGCCATTTGCATTTTAGGCCCGCGGCCCGTTTTCGGCGCCCGCGCGCGTCCGTTCGCAAAGTGGACTCTACATTTAGCACGCTACGGTTTTCGGAGGCGCATTCTAACGTTTGCCGTCCATCACTGATAGCGATTGTGGTATATCGATTGTGTCGGTGTTGTTTTCGTTTGAAAATCGAACACGCTTCATCGGCCAGAAACCATTTTCCGAAACTAACATTTCCGTTACACTTCTCTCATAAGACAGGTCTGCGTCTCTTTTCGAATAAAAAATAAACGTTTTACGGATTGTGATAACGTCGATGGCGAGAGGAATTTATCGATTACGGTCGCAGTGGCTCCCGACTGGAGGTTTCGAATCGGGCATTCGCCGTAGAATTTTCCTGAATCTATGGATGTGAAAATTGTCAAATTTATTTTCAACATATCCACTATATCTGTGTTCACGCCTATAGACAAACGATGTAAGGTATTATTTTTTCGTATTCAATATTAGTGTACAGTACTCTTCGAAACGACATGAGAGTTATATTAATATTATTTAACGTTGTTTTGTTTCGTTGTTATGAATTATTTCTTTTTCTGACGCCGCTGGTCTCGTCGCATTTGAATTTCATCCGTTGCCCGACAGGGTCTGAATAAAGTATATTATTCAAATAAACATGACGCGGCGGTCGCGATATTTTTTGGCGGGTCTTAAATGATGCATTAGGTAATCAAATCTTCGGTGTGTATAAATCTAATCGTTTAAACAAAGACGCACCAAACGGCGATGTTGGATTTAAAACAACAAATTACTAAGATGCAGCTTCTAGGAGTTTCTAGAAGAACGAAATCGGGACGTGTTGTAATGCGTCATCGCTCACGTCTTAGGGTGGAATATTAATGAATACAAAGCCCGGATAGCGGTTAGTCATATCATTATTATTATTTTTTTCGCCTCAAAACCTGAAACTAAACTTTTGTGAATTAAAAAAAAAAGTAAATCTTTTATTCGCCGAAATTTCTTTTTCAGGATAGATTAAATCAGACTTGGAATTTAAATTATGAATACACACACTTTTTATATATGATTCCTATATTCATTTGGTTGCTTATCTAATTTACTTACATGAATCTTAGGTGTGGAATTTCTGTATTTTATCTCAAGCTTGGAAACAATGGTTTGTGTTCAGTGTATTTCTGAAGGGGTTTTACGTGTGTGACCTATTAATAACTATCTAAAAACCTGAGGGTTGTAATTTTAACATGTTTACATATACATGTTTTTGTCTGCCTAAATAAGTAAATACGTAATTACTGTTTATGGTTTAAACTTAGAAAATAGCGAATTTTCACACCAGATGAAGGCTTATCCGGCTTTTTTTTTTACAAAAGATTTCAAAGATTCAGGTTACGGTACACCTGATGTAAAGCGATAACCGCCGCCTACATTTGCAACAAGTTTTAACGGCACGGCTTACCTCACTCACCAGACGAAAAGCAGAAGTATGACAGGTCCACTTCACGCCGGTCTTCTGGGGACGTGGTACTTCAAAGTCAAAGTATATTTATTCAATATAGGCCTAACTTAAGCTCTTATTGAACGTCAACAAAAAACCTACCACCGGTTCACTATATAAGAAACTCTGCGGTCTTGTCCTTTTTGTTATATATATTTTTTTAATGCAATTATACACACTTATTTGGGTATAAAATCAGCAGCAGCCAGGGGCCTTGCAAGTGCAGAGCAAGAGTCATTTCCAAACATCCTTGTCCTCTATGTATTCTTGGATATTATAGTAGGCCTTTGCCATTAAGGTAGCTTTTACAAATTGTTTGAAATTGTATACTTAGTTGTTTGTGGATGTCACCTATTTTATTATAAAAGTTGATGCATCTTCCAAGAAACGACTTACAAGTCCACAGTCCGATTCACAAACGCATCGGAGCAGAAATACATCATTTGTGAATTTCAACTGTCTTACCACGGTTCATGAGATATAGCCTGGTGACAGACGGACAGACAGCGGAGTCTCAGTAATACGGCCCCGTTTCACCTGTTTGGTACGGAATCCTAAAAATTATGTCCGTAATGACTCCGTGGCGCAGTTGCTAAGGTATTTATTGGCTTCGGCGTAGGGCGTCGTCGGTTCGATCGCCACACGGGACAACTATTTGTGTGACCCACGGATAGCTGTTTCGCATCTGGATGTATGTCGATTGCGCTAACACTTCGGAGCTCGGGTAATGTTTAGAGGGAATCCCAGGACTGGAAACACTTGGTGGGAGCATTAGACTTCTGCATCGTAATCACTACATAGTATAAAACAAAGTCGCTCTCTGTCTGTCCTTATGTATGCTAAGATCTTTAGAACTACACATCTCGATGCGATTTTTTTACTAGATAGAGTGATACAAGAGGAAGGTTTATATGTACAATACATTGCACCCGTGCGCAGCCGGGGCCGGTCGCTAGTCAGCTATAAACCGCGATAGTTCAGAGTCCTCGCTTTTAATTCAATACACTCGGGCGATATGCCTTCAAATCTGGTGTTTGCACCAATGAAATTGTCAATACTAAGCGCTGAATTATCACGTGCTCGGCGGTGAAGGAAAATGCCGTGAGGAAACCTGTATATTTTAGAAAAAAAATATCAAAAGGAAATATTTCGGACATAATATATAACAAAGTCGTCCCGCTCTCTGTCTGTCTGTATGTTTAGATCTTTAAAACTGGGCAACGGATTTTGATGCGGTCTCAAGATGAAGGTTATTATGTATAATTCATGCGTAGCACAGTGGAGAAACACTGATAATTTTCGTGGTTTCTATTGCGATGTCGAAACCAAACATTGAGCATTGCACCCGTGCGAAGCCGGGGCGGGTCGCTAGTTTCGAATATATGTGAAGTCCGCCAAACCACAGTGGGGTCGCGTGGTGGACTATGCCCTAATAGACATTGTCGAGAGGAGGCCTTTGCTCAGCAGTGGGACATATATAAGCAAAAAAAAAATCAAAATCAAAAACTGTTTCTATTACTTAACTAAAACTGTTACTTAACTAGCATTAAACGAGATAGGCCGCCGTCTTAAATGTTGGCAACACAACTGCGCGCTAAACGCCCCAGTACGTCGCCTGAAGAAAAGGTGGCTTTTCCGACTTTTCGCAAAAAATTTTTTTTTTATAATGACTAAGCCCCTGGGGATGAGTTGATCGCTCCCAAGCTATTTTCTAAAAGAAAGAAAGAAAAAATAGTTGTATAATATATTTAAAAAAAAAAAAAAAAAAATGACAAGAAAGTGACCTGCGTAGTTTCTTTCGGCTGTCTCTTCTCCGTTAGAGGAACCTCATTACGAAACGGTGGTAGATGAAATGTATGTTTCTTATGTCGATGAATAAATGATTTTGATTTTTTTTAAATAGCAACATTCGCGCATTATTCGTCTAGCTTGTTCTACTCGTGACTCATCTCAGAACGTGACTGCCCATTACGCTTTAATTTTGAATGATTATACCGGTGCATATGACTGAATTTTCCACTTGGGTCGGTATCCAAGTGGAAAATTCTGGAAAATATTCCTCTACTTGGTCATTAAAAACATTAAAGACATTTATTCCGTCGCCTTATAATAATTATAAAAAATTCGAACCCTAAAATTACAAAAATAAAAAATACAGAGAGAAAAAAAATGTTTACATTAAAAAAAGAATAATATTACAAAATAAAATGTGTTAAAAAAGTGATTATAGTAATATTAACAACTTAATGGAGGATTTTATAGGATATATAGGATCGACTTTGAGTTATTTGTTATTGTGCAATTAAGATGCAGATAATTCGTTTGTTTTTTATGTGAAAACTCGTCAAGCATCTGACAAAAAAGTCATCTGCATACGATGAAGACATTTACGGCACCATCGGGCTCGCGGCTGCGTTGGGGACCATTAAGAGCCCCGCTTACCTAACTCATTCGAATCCGTGGCGTAGTAGCCAAGGTATTGGCTTCGGTCCCGTGGGTTCGATTCCCACACTGGACAACTATTCGTGTGACTCACAGACAGACAGAATAATGCTGTCCCCTACAATACGAGGGCAAAATTTCGAAGGGAAGGCTATAATAGATCTTTCTACGTCGCAATTACCGTTAAGACTTAATCCCCAATGATGTTTTAACAGAGATGACGCATGTTTTAAAAACTGCGCAGCGTTTAAAAATTGTTCCGTTTTATATTATTAAAGTTTACCTGTGGGTTAGATGTCTCGTCTGCATGGAGGGTATTTATCTATTTATTAATTTGAGCGCTTACCTAATTTACCGATAATTCTTTTCCTTTAAATTGATTTCTTTTTCTATTGTTTCTATATCGCCATAGTTTTTTTTATATACAGATTTGGTTTTGTTTTTTATTATCTAGTATGTATTGTTTCAATTTTTTAATTCTTTTATTTTTTGTTATTTTTTATTGTTGTGTGCGTCCTTTTTCGGTAAACAAATTTATTTTAATTATTTCTTTCTTTCTATTTATTTAAGCTTCATTACTATACCTTAAAGTAAGGGCTGTAATAAGCGGACTTAGTGCCTAATGGCATTCTCTACCAATAAACCCCTGTCATTGCTATAAGTAGATGGCAGGTGCTAAACGAAGTTTAAAAAAATTACAAGTTTATAAATTAAGTCTGAAATATAACATATGCATATGTAAGTATGAATAGATATATAAACATGTTAATATATAGCTATATAAAAGTAAAGTAAAGTAAATGCCTATACATATCCCACGCAGGGCAAAGGCCTCCTCTTTTATACAGAGGGTATCAGGGCATAGTCCACCACGCGGCCCCACTGCGGAATGGCGAACTTCACATATTATCT